GCCAGACCTGGCATGTGTCCTGTGGACTTTGTGGCGTTTCAGACAGAAGGCAACTTCTATAGATGACCCTTCCAGAGTCTGTCAGACCCCACCCCCAGTTCTTAACCAGCCTTGAAACATGTCCATCCTGCCTTTCTAGGGACCACACCTTTCTGGGACCGAACTTACAAGAGCTGACAGGACTTATAGCCATGCATAAGGTGCTCTATAATTTTTGAACTAAAAAGCAGTACATTTATCTGACAACCAGAGAGAACATCTGAAGCTGGAACTGTCCCAGAAATCCAGGGCCATCTGTTTGCCAGTCCCAGGCAGGTGACTGCAGCTGCCCACAGCTGTGACCACCAGGAAGAGGGTCTGCAGGCAGGAGGAGCAACAGAGCACAGGCAAGGCTTCCAGCCAAACTCCGTCTCCAGCCACTGGGAGGCTCCGGGAGAGCTGGCCGCCCTCTCTGAGCGAGTGTGGGCTGATCCTCTCAAACTAGGCCTTCCCCTCACAATGCTTTAGAAACAATATTTAAAAAAAAAAAAAAGTCATAATTTTTCAAGAATTTGGGCTTAGATGCTGAGAAATAAACCAAAAGGCAGGTAGGGTGGCACAGAGGCCTGGACTTGGCATCTGGCAGATGTAGGTTTGAATCCCACCCACCCCCACACACACCCAAAAACCCTGTGATCTTGGGCAGACTCTGTAAGCCTCCTGAGCTTCAGGTCTGTCGTCTGTGAAATGGAGGGGATGCTACCTGCTCACAGGGTGGTGTGGAGGTGAGAGAGGAGGCAAGATCCTGGCACAGGTGGGCGTCCAGAGGGTGGCTGGCCTTGTCAGAAGGCCTCAGACCACTTGACTCATGAGATGAGGGATGGTGTTTACTTCCTAGGTAAGAAAAGGGAAGTCGCCACCAACGGGAGGACAGGAGGGAGAAAGAAACCTTTCTTTCTTGGTTTGTTAACTCTCTCAGTCCTTCCCTTTCCCACACAGCTCACTCTGGTTGTCCTCGGGCCCCTCCTGGTCCCTTGGCAGCTCTCCTGGGTCTGCCCTCTGCCTTTCTCTCAGTCTCTTTGTCTCTTTCCTCTCCTTTTTCCTCTCCCCATATGCCCTGTCTCTCAGGCTCAGAGTAGCAAGGGACTTTTAGGAGAAAGGACAGGAAGAAAAGCGCCCAAAGGGGAGCAAGGAGAGGGACTCATAAGACAAAGAAGTGGTCTCTCGCCCTCCACCCTTCCCTACCTCTCACCCCACCGTGTCCTGCCAGCCCAGAGACACCTTGCCCAGGCTCAGCACCAATCAGGAATGACCCGAGACTCCTGTACACAGGAGAAGAGGTGTGCTGGAACCCAGGACAGTGCCCTCAGCAAAATGGTGCCAGAGGTGGCCCAGCCTGGCAGAGAAAGAGGAGGATGCTATGAAGTTCTTCCAGCTCTCATGTATCTACTCCCTGATCTCGTTCATCCTGGCTTTAAACACCATCAGCACAGTGACAGCACCCAGGTTTGTAGCAGCAAGGCCCTCACCCCTGAACCCCAGAGCCATATCACCAACTGCCTGCTTCCCATCCTCCCTGGCGGCTAACAGGTTTCTCAAACTCAACATCAACAAAACAGAACTTGGTTCTCCCATGCCCTCCCCTCCCCCTGGCCCCAGGGTTTGCCACTTTGGGGAGGACACCACCATTCATGCTGATGTTAGAGTCATAACAATTCCTATCTCTTCCCCCACATCCAATCCATCAACAAATCCTGCTCGTCCTGCCTCCAAAGTACATCCAGCATCCCACCAGGGCCCTCAGCTCGATACATGCACCAGCATCTCTCACTGTCCACCCAGCAGCCAGGGAGCACTTCTAAAAATACAAACCAGGTCACACTGATCCTCCAGTGTCTTCTATTCACAATCAGAATAAAATCACAATTCCTCACTAGGCCTGGGAGACCTGCTTGACCCTCTCTGGCTTCACCTCACATCCCTCCCTCCTTGTTCTCTTTGCTCCAGCCTGACGTACTTTCTGTCTGTGCCTCCAACAAGCCAGGCTCATTCCCACCTCAGGGCCTTTGCACATGCAGTGGTGTCTGCCTGTAAAACTCTTTTCCCAGATCCCCATGTCTGCTTCCTTCTCATCATTCAAGTCATCTCCTCTGAGATGCTTTCCTTGACCCTGTCCACACACATCTCCGCAGCTCCAGCATCTGGCATGCCACCTGGCACAGAGCAATCTGGATGAATATCTGCCGAAAGAATGTGTGAGTAAAAGAAGTTATAGACTCTTAGCTGCAGGGTGGAGAACATAGCAGAGACAGGTAAAATTGCTCCTCAGGATGTGGCTCTCCAATTCCCTGCCATCCTCTTCTCCCTCCCCTGGACACATTGAGCTTGGTCACAGCCCCTGTGGCAACACCCANTGAGTGACTCACCCAATGACCAGGGAGTCCCATCTTCCACCTGATGGCCGATGCCAGGCTGTGCTGACATCCATTTTTCCTCCCAACCTCCAGAGCTGTGTCCAGGAGCTCCAGAGCCCAGGGAAGGACCAAGAACTCCCAGAAATGAATGGCCCAGACCCAGTCCTATGGCTGAGGCCATTTAAAATGCTTTGAATCCATTGCTTTGAAGTTTGGAGGGGAAATCCTTTCAGGTTTGTCAGCACCCTGACTTGGCCCACAACTGCAGTCCCTCTAGACACACTGTCTGCACAACCCACCAACATCCCTCATGGCAGCTAGACCTCCAGTGACCTCACAGCACATGAGAGGAGGAGACGGGGAAAATCAGGCCTGAGCACTAATGTCAGAGGAATCACAATGATACTTACACCAGACCATGAAAACAGACCTTGGGGCACAGGTTTGGTACATGGTAACCCTGGGGACAGTTACTGAAGTAGAGGGCTGAGGAGATGGGAGAGAGCTTTAGTGGGAAGGGTTATCAGGAACTCCCTCATACCTGGGCTGGATTCCAGAGGGTTAGCTGAGGGAGGCCAGTGAGGCCCTAGAAGACAGCACAGTGGTCCCCAGGACCTGGCTCGGGCTCCCTGCAAACAAGGAAAGTCAGACTCACCTCAATTCTTCCAGGTTAGGAAAAGGCAGAACACAGCACAACGGACATTCTGAAAGACTTTCCATATCTCTCATGATCCAGTCATTCCCTCTCCCCCTTTTCCTTTGCTAATGGAACCCAATTTGCTTATATGATAGAGGGAGACCCTTTCACTCAGGAGAAATGCCAGCCCCAAAGGATGAGTTAAGAGTGGTACACTTTCGATCCAAAAGATCAATAGCACAGGCCTAGATGGGGAAAGACATGGCAGTCGTGAGAGCGAGAGCAGGCCAGGAGGGATCCGTGGCAGGAAAGTCAACCGAAGAATGTTCGCTTGAAAAGGTAACAATACGATCTCCGTCTTCTTCTTAGCGAACATGTTTTAAACAAGTGTGCTGGCTCCACTCTCTCTGCCACTGGAGGCCAGAGTCCAAGCCAGAAAGACACCGACACACTGAAATCCACTCAGGGGTGTGAGGCCAAGCTGAGAAGCCCTGGGATGGCCTCTCTGAGGAAGGAGCTAGGTAGCTGCAGGAGTGGGCACTTGGACGGACACGCATCCGTTGTCTTACTCACCGACATCCAGGGAGCCCCTATTATGCGCCAATCACTTTGCTGGTTCTGAGAATACGGAAGTGCCCTCACAGAACATCCAAGCAGCACTTATCCCACCAGTGGCTGTCACACATTTGAAAACAACCCACATTAAGTACACTTGACAGCATGACCCGTTAGACCACCCAGAGAAGTAAGGTTTGAGACCAGATGAGGGGCCAGGAGGCCACCAGACATTTTTTAAAAGATGGCCTGATGGTGGTGATGGTTGCACAACAATGTGAATGTACTTAATGTCACTGAGCTGGTGCACTTTAAAATGGTTAAAATGGTTAATTTTATGTGACGTATATTTTACCACCACAAAAAAAGAAAGAATGGCCCACAGTTACTGCCTTTAAATAATGTAGAGTTGTGTAGCTTCGGGAATGCACCACTGTAAAAGAAGGAACTACTGCCGCACACGACACCGTGGCGTTTTGCTGAGTGCAGGAAACCAGACAGAGTGCTGACTGTATGCTTCCAGTTATATAAGGTTCAAGAATAGGAAAAGCCAATATGTGGCAATAGAGCAAAAAATGAGAGTCACCTCTGGGAGGGGAGATGGTATTGGCTGGGAAAGGGCACAAGTAACCATCCAGGGTGATAAAAATGTTCTATATCTTGATCTGGGTGGGAGTCACCTAGGAGTGGCCATTTGTAAAAATTCATTGACTGTACACTTCAGATTTCTACACTATACTGCCTGTAAGTTATACCTCAATAGGAAAAGAAAGAAAAGAAAAAAATGTTTAAAGGAAAGGAAATCATAAAAAAGGTAAAAGAAACATGATGAAATCAGTTCTTGGGTGAAGGTTAAGTTCAAAAGTCATTAAGTAAGGGAAACATGGCATATAGTCAAAATTACCTTTGTAAATCACTTAAATCACCCATGGAGATTCACATATATGGGTGTATACAACCCTGTAACATAATGCTTACACACTCTGAAGTTTGAAACGCACTAGGTTCGATAAAGGTTAGGACAAAGGAACATGAAGGCACAGACAACAAAGCCTACAGCCACCCCAGTCTGTACTGTGACTGTCACATCGTGTTGGGGAGCAGGGGAGGGAGGGAGAAATCTAGAGGGCTCTGCCCACCCAAGCAGGCTTGCTCCATCCTGCTTCAATATTAAGCCACTATAACATGTTTTGTTATATAAAATTGATTTGTTTATTGTAGAGAGAATGAAATGAGCTGGGTTCTGAAGCTAGCAGAGAAATTAAACACAGCCATTACTCTGTTTTTAGGTTCCTTTTGTTTGGCCCCAAGGAAGAGAAGTAAGATAGAAACACTAGGAAGAAGTATTCCAGCTCGAGAGAAGAAAAAGCTTGTGAAATGAAGTGGAGGAGCTCTCCAAAGATGGATGGGCTGATAGTGAGTTCCCCAACAGCAGAGGGAATTCATACACTCAACATGTATCAGTGACTTGTAGAGGCCCCTTCTAGCCTGGAGCTTCTGAGCTGACCAGATCCCCTGGCTCCCTGTCCTGGGCATGTCCCCTCTGCTCACAGCTGCCTTGACAATGAGATGTGAAGCTGGCGAGAGGCACCTGCCAGGAACTCCAGGTGGCTGTCCTAATAGAGGATTGCTCTGCTGCCCCTGAGGATTTATGGCCTCCCTCCTGAGTTATGGGCAGGCGGGCAGAGCCTATAAAAAGGAGCCGTCCAGGCTGTGTGGTGTACAGGGCATCAATCAGACAGAGCCTGACCACTGGAGCAGAGGGAAGATCAGTCTACTGGTTTCCCACCTATAAATTCTCCCGCCTGCACAGGACAAGCATATTTAAAGGGAATTCATGCCGTGGTTTTAATTCCAGCGATGCATGCAGTGGGTGGGGGAGAACAAGGAGAAAACAGCCCCAAACATAGCCTTCAGCTGGCCTCACCTCTCCCCAGAGCCCCCAAACCCACCTCCTCCCAGTCCTCTCCCTGAGCAAATGGTGCTGAGTAAACTGATGAGAAAGGACCATACACCTGGGAGCAGGGCTGTTGGACTGGGGTGGGGGACCCAGTGTGGCCTGAACAAGGCTAAAAACCCCCAGGTGGAGTCTTCACACCTACTTCTGGAGGGCGGGAGTGAACATACTTCCTATGTCTTTTATTGAAGTGCTAGGAAGGCCTGGGGTAGGGGAGCAATGGATGGGCAGAAAAGGGCCAGACTGCCCTGGACTCAGAGCCATCGCACTGCACAGCTCTGTGGGCACCTTTCGTATCATTGCC